AGTTATATATAGAAAAAATTATAGGGAAAGTCAGTCTCCTAACAAAAACCAATAGAAAGTAAGAAATACAACTGAAAGCATGGCTTAGGGAACAAGGAATAATTCATTTATTTCTGGTACTAAATGAAATATATTAGAAGTGGTAGATAAGGTAAAATGGTAAAAATAATTATAGACACATACTTATTAAGCACTTACCTTGTGCCTGGCACTCTGCTTACCATTTTACACAGATGATGTCACTAATCCTTAAAAGTACTCAGTGGGAAAACTACTAGCACAGAATCAGCATAAGTGGACTGCAGGGCAGAGTCAGTGGTAGTGAATGAAAAGGGAAAGAAAATCCTGAGTGTCAGTGACTACAAACAAAGAAGCAGAATTTCCAAGGCCATCTGGAAAAACAAGTCCCAAATTGACAGGGCTGTTCACATGTGAAAATTTTTCATATTCTAGATGGTCATAAACTGACCAAATAGTGAAAGAGTGATTATTTTATTAATGAAGAAAAATTGTGATATAAAATTTAATTCTTTAAATGCGCTAATCAAATATTCACTTAAAATGATCCTTTCAACATTTCAACACCAGTGCTCTCTTCCCATTCGTTGACTGATGCTGTAAATCCCTAGAGCTTGTAGTCAGTCATCAATGCTTTAAATAATCCCAAAGTACTGCCCATAGGCATCTATCTTTTAAATTATCAGCAAAGTGATTCCTACACAAAGATGAGATATTTTGTGAATTATTTCATGAGTGAAACCTTATGTATTTTATACTTTCATATATTACTTTGGGAATTATATAGTGAAAACAGGTATATCTATGACAACATTTTAGAGCTTGAGGACGTATGTTTTACCTTAGCAGCTGGAGATTTGTTCATTACTGCTGTCAAAGCCTGAATGGTTGATACAGCCAAACAATCCAACTGTACCTGAAACACCTACCAGAGGAGGAAGAAAAGGTAAGAAATTAACAAATGTGTTCAAGATTTGTATTCAGTTAGGAAGCCTTTCTTCTGAAAACCTCAAAAAAAAATTTAACATGCAATACATTCCTCTTCCAATGAAATGGATCTCTGAAACACTAAAACCTGTAAGAAAAGTTACATACTTGACAGAAAATAAGCCATATGTCAAGAAGAATAAGGTTACATTCACTCATTATATTAAAATGCTTTGAGGGAAAAACCCACCAAGCTTAAACATGCTTTTAAAAAGTAATGGACAATCTCAAGAGGAAGGGAGGGAGGGCTACCATGGGAAATTCTTGTATGTTTTAATTTTCCTTCAAAAATACACTTGAAACTTCCTAGGTTAAAATTTCATTAGCATGTATAATAAGATATCTAAAACAGTCTTATCTATATAGTTTCCAAAACCTGTGTTATAAATGAAATGGTATGTGCATATATCAATCACATTTGCAAACAATAACATACATCTATTTTTATATAAAATGCAGACATTTGAGGCAGAACAGAAAATGAAATATGTATCTGTCATGTTTTTGAGAAGGCAAGCTTTAATGCCAGAAGTTGTAAGAAAAAAATAAATACCAGCTCCATTTTGTCTATTTCTGTTTAAGCTTCATTATAAAGAAGAGATGTGTTAAATTTCAGGGCAGTACATTCATAGAAAAAGAAACAAAAACAAAAACAAAATAGAATATCAACAATGTAAAAAAACTGAACGTGAATACTATATCAACAGACTTAGTCAACCATGAAAGCATAGTGTGAGGACTAGAAAGTTGTAAAAATTACCAGTCCCCAAAATCTGCTTTTGGTAATATATTACTATGACTTGAAGCTTGTTACCCCACAAATAGAATTTTCCTCTCTGCCTCCCACTAAAAATGATCTGAGTAAAGGGGGACTGATTAGATCTTTGTCATTGTGAGCTAAGCTCTATCATTTTCAGGCAAGTTATTTAAGCTGGTCTCTTGGTTTTTGTTGATGTTGTTTGTTTATTAAACATTATTACATAAAATAAACATATTACATGTGTAATAAACATCATATGCATTAAACATTCTGCATACAGAATATCATACAACTAAGATTTTTTTCTTGACTTTATTGAAGAGGACTAGGCATCACAGTACCTATAATCAGGAATACTAATTGTCAACCTCTAAGAGATTATTATAAGATTTTATAAATCTATATGAGAAGACTTTAAGAGGGACTAACACTTATATGGAAATCCAGAACGGTAGTCTGTAATTGATATTTGACATCCAGAAGAGAATAGATTATCATGTCTCTTTTTATACCACAGCTCTATTTATACACCTGGACATTAAGATAATGCTAATAATATGTTAATAAAAGATATCACATAAGCTCTCTCACAAACATTCTGGGAAAGACAAATAACAAAGCAATTTTTATAGGTAGTTTTTGCCAAACTGAATTGCCTAATGTATTGTGAAAAGCAAGATAAATTGTATATGTCTGCCTTATATCCGTGTAAAGGTGAGTTTTTAGAAAAGAAAAAAGTTAAATTTTATGCTAAATTAAGACTCAAAGAGCTCGGCATCTTCTTCCCTTCCTCCAAGATTTGGGTTGTCCATTGAATTATAATAATCATTTGTCAACAAGAGGCAAAGAATCAAGATATTAAAACTGATCAAACATATTCACGAACAAAGCCCTAAGGTCCCAATACACCACAATGCTTAGAAAAAGAAGCCCCCAAAATATGGAGTCATCACTAGGTGGACAGCACTGATATTGGGATTCCATTCCTGTACTTTATATTTCCTCAAACTGAAAAGAAGACACACATACATAGATGGAATCCTGTCGATCGATCGTTTATATCCCTCACCAAGATTTCAATATATTTATCTTTTTTTTTTTTTTTTTTTTTTTTGGCGGTATGCGTGCCTCTCACTGTTGTGGCCTCTCCCGTTGCGGGGCACAGGCTCCAGACGTGCAGGCTCAGCGGCCATGGCTCATGGGCCTAGCCGCTCCACGGCATGTGGGATCTTCCCAGACCGGGACACGAACCCGTGTCCCCTGCGTCAGCAGGCGGACTCTCAACCACTGTGCCACCAGGGAAGCCCTATATTTATCTTTTAGATGAAAGCATTTATTTTTAAATTTTTAAACAATTTTCAAAAATAATTAATGAAGATTAGAAATAGATAATGTTTGTATACTTTAAAACATAAGAAGAAAAGTACAGGAATAGGTGCTCCCACTGACTGATTCACCAGGGAACTATATTTATCTTTTAGATGAAAGCATTTATTTTTAAATTTTTAAACAATTTTCAAAAATAATTAATGAAGATTAGAAATAGATAATGTTTGTATACTTTAAAACATAAGAAGAAAAGTACAGGAATAGGTGCTCCCACTGACTGATTTTGGACTTCAGCTGAAACAAGATGCAGGCTTTGTAGATACCTGGTCCTCATTCATTTCTGTCAGTAATTTGTTGGCAAGGTCTTTCTCGTTCTTGTCTGCCACCTTACTGTTAGCATTTAAAAATAGCTGTTAAAAACAGAGACAAGAATAATGGAGAAAGAACATTAAATTGTTACCTATAAGCAGAAGTGAAGCTTAAATGGATTTCCATATCTCTTGAAATAAATCCAAGAATCCACTCATGAAGTATACCACTCTTAAAATGACAATCAACTGTCCACTTTTTGGATTACTAACTAACATTAGTTCATAAACTATGTAATTAATTATCATTTATTTCTCTCTGAAATTCAAAGTTACCAAAATAAGAAACAACAGCAATAATTAAATAATTATTAGGAATACTTAGTTAATATTCCTGAATTCTTAAAGAATCAGCAGGGAATGACTCATAGAAGAGAAGGAAACTGCTATTGAGACACACTAAAGATACTGTAGTAAATAATGTACAGTAAGGGTTCTGCAACCACACAGGTGTGTGAAATGCTATTAAACTAACTTTAAAAAGAGGTCTTTCTGGAAATGCTCCTCAGAGTCTCGAATATGCTAATGTGTACTTTGACAAGGGAGGTCAGTGTGTAGTATTTCCCAAATTTATCTGAGCACACATTTTGTTAAAAATTTTGTTAACAGTATTCTCCAAAATTATCGAGTTGAGCATAATTTATATTACTTTGTACAGTAGAAAGATGGATTAGGATTACCTCTGACATACATTGAGACTGCCCTTTTCTGAAAGAAATGAAAGAATCAAGTAGTTTGGCTTACATAAATAAAACCCAGCATCCCAAAAGATCTGTCACAGTTTGGGTAAAGAGGAAAATAATTCAAATGAGAGTGAAAAGGGAGAGAAAGCTAGATTTATAAAGGGATTTATCAAGAGCATCCTAAGAAGGAAGTTCTTCTTAGAAACTACTATCATTTCAGAAATTGAAAACAAAAATCCAGTAATGTGCTGAAATAATGCAATATAAAATAAAATGGATAATAGTAAGGTATGCAAGAGCATAAGTAACGCTAAACCTAAAAATAGATTAGTGTACGTAATACAGGCTTTGGAATCAGAAAACTGCATTTGAATCTTGGTTCTGCTACTTATAAGCTGCCTGGTTTTAAGGAAAACTACTTAAATTCTCCGAGTTTGTTTTCTCAGAAATGAAAAGAATAAGATATCATGAAATTGGTGTGCAGATTAAATGAGATAATCCATGTTAGGTTATTAGCCTAGAAACTGGCATACAACAAGGGTGAAATAAATGAAAGCTGGTATTATTATTATCAGCAAAGATTTTAAAATAGTAATATTCCATATTGTCTAGGTACAATAACACAGGACTGCTCAAAACTGATGAAAGTAAAAATAAGTAAAGTCTTTCCAGAAAGCAATCCATATCAAGATTCTTTTAAAAAGTTCTTACTCTTTAAATCAGTAATTGTATTTCTAGGAATCTACTCAAAGAAACAGTCAGAAATTGACACTAAGATTTTGGAAAAGAAATGCTCACTTCAATTCTGTTTACAACAGCAAAAAATTAGAAACCAGTCAAATATCAACATAATAGAATACGTTAATAAATTATGGTTCATCCATAGGTTGAAAGAGAAATCCTCAAATTTTCTGGTCTGAAGACCCCTTAACACTCTTTTAAAAATTACTGAGAACCCCAATGAACTGAACTTTTATTTATGTGGGTTACATCTATCAATATTTACCATATCAGAAATTAAAATCAAGGCATTTAAAAAATATTTACTCAAAAAAATAACAATAAATCCATTACAAGTTTATATAAAAACATGTTTATGAAAAATAACTGTATTTTCCAAAATATACCTTAGTGAGGATGGCACTACTTTTACATTTTTGCAAATCTCTTTAAATGTCTGGCTTAAGATAAGACAGATGAACTCTCCTATCTGCTTTTTTTTTTTTTTTTTTTT